ATATGTCCTCCCCACCTGTACGAGCCAGTATCTCGGCTGTTAGAAGCAGACACGTCTCCACTCAAGATAGAGAATTCAGGGGTTACACAACACGAAGCACCCTGTCGTTTCTGCCTGCGTGACCATGGAGAGGATATGAGGAAGTGGGATGGACAACCTACTTCAGTCCTACAGGCACGGGTACAGGGACTGCAAGGAAGAACAATCACAAAAGGTGATCCCTCCAGGAAAAGTGCTGCCCCAGTTTCCAATGTGCAGTTCCCCAGACAGCATAGAAGGCCTGAGCCTACTTCTGATCCCCTTGAAGGAACGTCCAGATCATTTCTGCAAGAAGCGAGTAATGGATACTATGACCAGTATTAGAGGGGCCCTGCCTCCGGCCAGGTGGGAGAAAGGGACAAATGGATTTATTGGACAGTGTGGATTCGATGGCCTGGCACGTCAGAGCCACAGAAGTATAGAGCTTTAGTGGACACGGGTGCACAGTGTACGATAATACCATCAAGCCATACAGGGACAGAACGCATCTGTATTTCTGGAGTGACAGGGGGATCCCAAGAGTTGACTGTACTGGAAGCTGAAGTGAGCCTAACTGGGAATGAGTGGCAAAAGCACCCCATTGTGACTGGCCCAGATGCTCCATGCATCCTTGGTATAGATTATCTCAGGAGAGAATATTTTAAGGACCCAAAAGGGTACAGGTGGGCTTTTGGCATAGCTGCCTTGGAGGTGGAAGAAGTTAAACAGCTGTCTACCTTGCCTGGTCTCTCAGAGGACCATTCTGTTGTGGGGCTGTTGAAGATCGAAGACCAACAGATGCCGATTGCTACCACAACGGTTCATCGGCAGCAATATCGAACTAACCGAGACTCTCTGATCCCCATCCATGAGCTGATTCGTCAACTAGAGATTCAAGGAGTGATCAGCAAGACTCACACACCCTTTAACAGTCCCATATGGCCGGTGCGGAAATCTAATGGAGAGTGGAGGCTAACTGTGGACTATCGTGGCCTCAACGAAGTCACGCCACCGCTGAGTGCTGCTGTGCCGGACACGTTAGAACTTCAATACGAACTGGAGTCCAAGGCAGCCAAGTGGTACGCCACAACTGATATCGCCAATGCATTCTTCTCAATCCCTCTGGCAGCAGAGTGCAGGCCCCAGTTTGCTTTCACTTGGAGAGGTGTCCAGTACACCTGGAATCGATTGCCCCAGGGGTGGAAACACAGCCCCACCATTTGCCACGGACTGATCCAGACTGCACTGGAAAAGGGTGAAGCTCCGGAACATCTGCAGTACATTGATGATATTGTCATATGGGGTAACACAGCAGAAGAAGTTTTTGAGAAGGGGCATAAAATAATTCAAATCCTTCTGAAAGCTGGTTTCGCCATAAGACGGGGTAAGATCAAGGGGCCTGCACAGGAGATCCAGTTTTTAGGAGTAAAATGGCAAGATGGGCGCTGTCAGATCCCAACGGGTGTGATCAATAAAATAGCAGCTATGTCCCCACCAACTAGTAAGAAGGAAGCACAAGCTTTCCTAGGCATTGTGGGTTTTTGGAGGATGCATATCCCAGATTACAGTCTGATTGTGAGCCCTCTGTATCAAGTTACCCGGAAGAAGAATGATTTTAAATGGGGTCCTGAGCAACGACAAGCTTTTGAACAAATTAAACAGGAAATAGTCCATGCAGTAGCCCTGGGGCCAGTCCGGGCAGGACAAGATGTTAAAAATGTGCTCTACACCGCAGCTGGAGAGAACGGCCCTATCTGGAGCCTGTGGCAGAAAGCCAGGTTGGTATAGAAGCACAGCTCCTCTTGGCACCTCGGCTGCCAGTGCTGGGTTGGATGTTCAAAGAAAGGGTCCATACCACACATCATGCAACGGATGCTACATGGAGTAAGTAGATTGCACTACTAGATCACTCAGCGAACTCGAATGGGAAACCCCAGTCACCCAGGAATTCTAGAGGTGATTATGGACTGGCCAGAAGGCAAGGATTTTGGAATGTCACCAGAGGAGGAGGTGATGCGTGCAGAAGAGGCTCCACCATATAATGAACTACCAAAAAATGAGAAGAGATATGCCCTGTTCACTGATGGGTCCTGCTGGATTGTGGGAAAGCATAGGAAGTGGAAGGCTGCCATGTGGAGTCCTACAAGACAAGTTGCAGAAGCCACTGAAGGACAAGGTGAATCAAGCCAATTTGCAGAGGTGAAAGCAATTCAGCTGGCTTTGGACATTGCCGAGCGGGAAAAATGGCCGGTACTTTATCTCTACACCGACTCATGGATGGTGGCAAATGCTTTGTGGGGGTGGTTACAGCAGTGGAAGCAGCAGAATTGGCAGCGCAGAGGCAAACCTGTCTGGGCTGCGGAATTGTGGCAAGATATCGCTGCCCGGGTAGAGAATCTGGTTGTGAAAGTACGTCATGTAGATGCCCATGTACCCAAGAGCCGGGCCACCGAGGAACATCAGAATAACCAGCAAGTGGATCGGGCTGCCAAGATTGAAGTGGCTCAGGTGGATCTGGACTGGCAACATAAGGGCGAATTATTCTTAGCTCGATGGGCCATGACTCCTCAGGCTGTCAAGGGAGAGATGCTACATATAGATGGGCTCGGGACCGAGGGGTGGATTTGACCATGGCCACTATTGCACAGGTCATCCATGGATGTGAGACACGCGCTGCAATCAAGCAAGCCAAGCGATTAAAGCCCCTTTGGTATGGAGGACGATGGCTGAAATACAAATATGGGGAGGCCTGGCAGATTGATTATATTACGCTTCCACAGACCCGTCAAGGCAAGTGCCATGTGCTCACAATGGTGAAAGCAACCACTGGATGGCTGGAAACATGCCCTGTGCCCCATGCCACCACCCGGAACACCATCCTGGGCCTTGAAAAGCAAGTTCTGTGGCGGCATGGCACCCCAGAGAGAATTGAGTCGGACAATGGGACTCATTTCCGAAACAGTCTCATTGACACCTGGGCCAAAGAGCATGGTATTGAGTGGGTTTACCACATTCCCTATCATGCACCAGCCTCTGGGAAGATAGAATGGTACAATGGACTGTTAAAAACTGCACTGAGAGCAATGGGTGGTGGGACTTGAAAAAATTGGGATACACATTTAGCAAAGGCTACCTGGCCAGTTAACACCAGGGGATCTAGCAACCGAGCTGGCCCTGCCCAGTCTAAACCCCCACGTACCGTGGAGGGAGACAGAGTCCCCGTGGTGCACATGAAGAATGTGTTAGGGAAGACAGTCTGGGTCAGTCCTGCCTCAGGCAAAGGCAAACCCGTCCGTGGGATTGCCTTTGCTCAAGGACCCGGGTGCACTTGGTGGGTGATGGGGAAGGATGGGGAAGTGCAGTGTGTACCACACGGGAACCTGATTTTGGGCGAGAATAGCCAATGAATGAAACTGTATGATGTTAATTGCTAAATGACCCTGCCATTGTACATCTCACTTTGGTGACTGCTATTGGTTCTACTATAGTAGGAATCACCCAACTAATGACTGATGGACTCTGGTGAAAAATCGAGTACAGTGCAGCCTTGAAGAGACCAGAACTGACCTCAGCAGCTGGCGCCCAGCAGTTTCAATGAGACCAGCGTCTTCAGCCCATGGACCATGGACATGAGCTGCACCGGATACATCAGCCACAAGGCCCAAAGAAAAGATACAACATGCAACAGTCCAGCCCCAATGTACACCATCTTGCATGCCCTGAGAGACAGTTCTAACAGATGGAGCTTGAAGTCATGGGTTAAATGAACTCAACAGACATTTTAGAGTGATGGCCCATAGACTAAAGACATTATACCTATATGTGTATATATATATCTATATGTCAGGAGGAACTGACAGTATACAACTGGAAACTGTAGGATCTGGGCATGGCATGAAACGGTATGGAATAAGGGGTGGATGATGTCCTGGTCTGGCAGGGATGGGGTTAATTCTCCCCAGGACCTAGCAGGGACACAAGTATTCCATCCCATGTGGGCCATGCTTAAGGGGTAGCCGGAGCTAGCTGGGAAAGAGGGGGGCAGGAATTCGGGGGGCACGGAGGAGGAGGTGACCCCCGGAGGAAGAGAGCGGTTGGGGGCGTCCAGGGTGCGCTCGGCGAGTGGCGGTATTGTAATTGTGGTTGTATATCCCTCTGTTCTTGTTGTTGTTATTTCTTGCTCTTTTTTCTTGTTCTGTTAAAATTGCCTTTGTCTCAACCCACGAGTTTTGCCTTTTTATTTCGATTTTTCCCTCCCGGCCACGGGGCCGTGGGGGCTCTGTTCTGCGCCAGCGGCTGCACGTGGTCCTTTGTTGCCGTCTGAGGCCAAACCACGACAGCTGCCCAGGGAGGTGGTTGAGTCACCATCCCTGGATGTGTTTAAGGCACTTTTAGATGCAGTAGTGAGGGATATGGTGTAGGGGAGGACTTTGTAGAGTAGGGTAGATGGTTGGACTCGATGATCCCAAGGGTCTCTTCCAACCTGAATGATTCTATGAAAGTGCTCACAGCAAAAAGGCATTGATCGTGTAGCAATTGCAGAAGAAGGAATCACAGAATCTTCATGGTGGGAAGGGACCTTTGAGATCATCGAGTCCAATCACAAAGAAGCCAACAACCAACCAACAAAACAAAACCAAAAGAAAACAAAAGAAAAACTAAAACAAACCCACCAAGAAATCCCAGACGCACAAGGAGACAAAAGCAAACAATCTCGGGCGCTAGAGTATGCCCCGAAGGGCCTTGCAAGGGCTTGTAAATAAGTTGTAAGGGGTAAGTAAGTTGCATTCACCATCCCAGGCTGTGGCTGAGCCGGGGTGGGGCCCAAGGGGTGTCTGTGATGCGCTGTGGCCCCTGGGAAACCCCAGGGAACACGTCACAATGGGGGTGGCTATAAAAGGCGCTGTCCCAGTACAGCTGTCCCAGTACGGCCTGCGCCAGCGGTGAGGGAGCTCGCGGCTCTCTCGCTACTCCTGCGGGCCATGGCTTCACCCAGAATCCTTGTCCTGCTGCCTCTCATGATGTTGAGCACCATCCGGCTCCTGCCCATGGTTGGCAATGGGCTGCATGAGGCCACAGGGTTCCACATGCAGCAGCGTGCGGAGCTCCAGAAGATGGAGATAACTGGGCTGCTGGACGAGGTGGAGGAGAGGAGCCTGGAGGAGACCAAGCCGAGCCTGGAGGAGATGGAGCCAAGTGTGGAGGAGAAGGCAGTGATCCTGGAGGAGAGCGACTTTTCGTGGGGAGTCCTCCTCTTTGCTACATCCTCGAAGCTGTGTCAGTGCTGCCTGGTTGTTGTTGATCTAGTGGCGCTCCTTGGGCTCTGCTTGAGGCTCTGGAAAAGGATCTCGCCACTCCTGCCGGCCATGGCTCTGACAGGAGTCCTTCTCCTGCTTTTGTTGAGCATCATCTGGCTCACAGTGATGGTTGGATACGGTTGGCTTGCCTGGGAAGACCTGCTCTTTGCTGCCTTCAAGTTCAGTGCGGTTGCTGGATACCTGGTGCTGCTCATCAGGCTCAGTGCGTGGCTCAAGAAAAGGACCCATGCACCAGACAGGAGCAAAGAGCAGGAGAGGTCCAGCAGCAGCACGGGGGAGGCTGAGTCCAGCAGCAACACGGGGGAGGCTGAGTCCAGCAGCAACATGGGGGAGGCTGAGGAGGAAGAAAGAGAAGTTGGCGATTACGTGGAGCGGCTGGTGAGGGACAAGGTCCGGCGGTCAGCGCGGAGCGTGGCCTACAGGAGAAAGGCAGTGGAGAAGCTGGTGGGCGATCTCCTCGGTGCCTTGCAGAAGCGCTTGTCCGAGAGCTTCTTCCCAGTGCTGCAGCCAGCCATCGGGGTGGGCAGCGCCTTTGAAGGCTGGAGTCCCCGTGGGCATGATGCTGTGTACACCCTGCTTGTGCCCCTGAAACCCCCCCGTGGGCACGCCTTCCACCTGGAGCTGGGCACTGCGAGGGACGCGCCAGAAAAGCACCGTGTCCGTGTGGAGCTGGTGTGCACCTGCACAAAGGACACACGTGTGGGGGACATGCTGTGCTTTGTCCACCAGCCCTACGAGGCGCTGCAGAGAAATCAGGATTCCAGCCTTGTGAACGAGCTCTGCACCGGCTGCTACCTCGATGCCCAGAAGATCGCCCGCTGGATCCAGGGCTTGGTGACCTCAGCCTGGGAGGAGCTGCCTCATTCACGTCGCTACGGGCTGAGGCTGCTGCCTTCCCGCCGCTCCTGCAAGCTGGAGCTGACCAGTGCCTCCGGGAGATCCCTCCGTGTTGAGATGCTCGTTGGGGTGCAGCGAGACCACTCGGACCTCTTCCTGAGCAGCCAGGCTCCAGAGGCCATCTTCACCCCAGGCACCATGTGGGCAGAGAGCTCCTGGAGCTGGGCACTGCGAGGGACGCGCCAGAAAAGCACCGTGTCCGTGTGGAGCTGGTGTGCACCTGCACAAAGGACACACGTGTGGGGGACATGCTGTGCTTTGTCCACCAGCCCTACGAGGCGCTGCAGAGAAATCAGGATTCCAGCCTTGTGAACGAGCTCTGCACCGGCCGCTACCTCGATGCCCAGAAGATCGCCCGCTGGATCCAGGGCTTGGTGACCTCAGCCTGGGAGGAGCTGCCTCATTCACGTCGCTACGGGCTGAGGCTGCTGCCTTCCCGCCGCTCCTGCAAGCTGGAGCTGACCAGTGCCTCCGGGAGATCCCTCCGTGTGGAGATGCTCTTTGGGGTGCAGCGCGGCCACTCGGACCTCTTCCTGAGCAGCCAGGCTCCAGAGGCTGTCTTCACCCCAGGCACCATGTGGGCAGAGAGCTTTGCTGTGGCAGAGGCAAAGTTCTTCAGCCACGTGGCCAGGCAGGCCCCACCTGACAGTGTCCACCTCCAGTGCCTCCAGCTCTGTGCCAGTAGCCTGGCAGGCACAGTCCTTTCCTCCGACATCTTGAAGACGGTTGTGATGGATCTCCTGAGCCTCATACACGTGACAAGCTGGATGGGGCCAGTATTTGTGATCCGGCTTCAGGATGTCATGGCCTACCTGCGCAGCTGCCTGCTGGAGAAACGCCTCGATCACTTCATCATTGGCAACAAGTTCTTGCCCGAGGACATCCTCTTGGCCCCAGACACCCGAGAAGCTGAGCCACTCAACCTCTTCCAGTGCCTGGCGGAGGATGCCCAAGCCTACGCGAAGGCACTGGGGGAGTTTGAGGAGCTGCAAGACCAGCTCAAGGACCTTCTGCTCTTCAAAGTCTGAAAGAGGTTTTCACCTCTCACACCACCTCTGTGCACTCCCTGCTGTCTTCCGGAGGCTCCCTTCTCTCCGGGAGCTTCCCTTTGTACATAGTTGTGAATAAAGGTTGTGTTGGAAGAAAAGCTGCATCTCTGAGTGGTTGTGCATCGTTTCTGGGGGGAAGGCGGGCAGCGGGTGCTGGCTGCTCAGCCGCCCCAGAGGCGGAGAGCATTTTGCTGAAGAGCTGACGTGGTGGGCTCTGCTTTCCCTGATTCAAGGGGAGGTTGTCAAGAGGATGGGTCCAGTCTTTTTCAGCGGTTCCCAGTGCGAGGTGAAGAGGAAATGGGCACAAACTTGAACCTAACAAGTTCCCATCTCCCTGCCCAAGTGATAATTTCCTGAGGTGGTCACCAGGGGCCAAGGTGTCTTTCATGAGGGTGGTATCTGGGGCTCGCTCCCTAGTGCTGTGTGGGAGTCAGGTAACAACACACCAGCCAAGGGCACACTTGAGCAATGATGCTCCCGCAGTCAATAGGCCAATACGTCTCGAGGTCAACCATCTTACCCACAGAAATAGTCAACAGCCCAAGAGCCCCTTGAGTTTTCCTGTACGGCAGCGGGCTACCAGGAGTAGGGATGCCTCTCAAGAGTACTTCTCCAAATTGGGAGATTCCTTGCCACAACAGATCCTGGGTAAGGGACTGTTAGAATGCAAAACTTTGAAATCCTGGCTAAGGGATAGCAAGGCTTGATTTACCAGAGAGAGTCCTTCAGTCATGATGAGGTGTGACGGAGTGACACCTCACGGTGAGGGTGATGGAGCCCTGGAACAGGCTGCCCAGGGAGGTTGTGGAGTCCCCTTCTTTGGAGATTTTCAAGACCCGCCTGGATGCAGTCCTGAGTGGCATGATCTGACATGCTCTGGGTGGTCCTGCTTTAGCAGGGGAGTTGGACTCGATGATCTCTATGGTCCCTTCCAACTCTAAAAATTCAGTGAAATTCAGTGAAAATTCAGGCAGAAAGCGTTGACCAAATCTGAGCCAGGACTGGAGTCCTTCCTTTTTTTTAGCAGGCCTAGTCGGGGCCCTCTGCTGCTATCTCTCTCTCCTGGCACTGGTGTCTGACCTGACAATAACCCTCCTGCAATCCCAATGTGATAGCAAAATGGCAACTTATCCTTTAGCACCAGTACTGCGTGTAGCGAGCGGTGCGGCGAGTGTCTGCGGAAGGCATAGCTGCCCGTGTTCCACTACCCATGTGTTTTCTAGAGAAGCGGCCACCTTCTCAACTGTCTTGGATCAAAGAGGCAGTCTGTGCCACTGCTGTAGATGTAGATGAAAATACACCCTGTTGGCAACATTATTCAGTTACAAGTACATGAACCCTTCCATGATTAAGGACAGCTGTGTCTGGATAAAGAAAGAGGTGAAGCTTTTTCATCCTAGTGTGGCTGGGCTTTCAGGAGCCTAAAATAATTTCTGAGGGGACAAAAAGAAATCTTTAAGGCAGACATTGTCAATAATGGACAGTTTCAGAAATGCTGGTGCTCAGAGGTGTAGTTTGTCTTAGGTTATGTGCTGGGTTGAAAGACACAGGACTAACTTTACTTCTAATGCTGTGGAAAATTGCACTTTTAGAAGACCCTAGTGTCTGAATTTGTGAAAATATTTACTTTATAGCCAGCCAGGCTCTGTGTGATTCAAGGTCTTAGTGTTTTTGAGCCTTGCCAGGTGCAGGAACAAGGAGAAGCAAGGCCTGGGCATTTGACCCAGCCTGGCCAGCAGGATTATTTCATGCTATGAACATCACATTCAATATAAATTACAAAAGTTTGCTGGTAGCTCTCTCTCCCTTGGTGGCGGGTCCAGACAACTCCTTGCCCCAGTGCCGGGACCCTGAGGCCTTCCCTTCCTCCTGAAGCCACTGCGCTCGCAGTGTCGGCCATTTGCTGTCCCCTGCTGGGAGTGGACGGCTTCTACTGACAGAACAGGCTGAGTATAATTCTTGTATATCTTATATCAGTATTGGGATTAATGATGGTTCTTTAGTATTATTGTTAATTATTTTGTCTTCGTCTGTTAAAACTATTTATATTTCAACCCTTGTGTTTCTTTCTGTTCCCCGATTCCCCTTTCTGGGTGGGGAGGGGTCATCGTGTGATGGAGTAATTGTCTAAACGACAATAGATTGTTCTGGGTTTTCTCAAACCATAACAGGCTATAAAATCTCAGTTCAGATGAACCTGCAGAGCCTCCTAAGTGACACTGACTTCCTAGCAGATCACAGCACTGGCGCTGTGTAGTGGTTTGAGTCTGTGTGCCTGTGCCACGACTGTTCAAAAGTGCAAAGGAACGCCTGCAGGAACGCCTTTGACCGAAGCCTTGCCCCCAGCCATCCAGGCAGGGCAGTTTACTTTGGAGCAGCTTCTGCCAACAAAACATTTTTGCTTCCTGGCAGAAAGGAAGGGGGGCTTCTAAATTTATTTTCTGGAATAGAGGGTGGAGCTTTCAAATGATTTTTAAAATAGTCAGTTTATCCTGCTAAAAATAAATGTGAGGTATGGAATTATGCAGATTCATAGTTTCCAACTCACATTGATGGCATACAAACTATTAATTAAAATTGATAGGTTTTCTTGAAAAATATTTGACAAACAGGAAGAGGATACAACAGGCAGAAGCCTATAGGCAGAGATGGGTGCAATTTCATAAAGGAGCAGAGTAAAACTATCAGACTTTTTCTCTTTAGAACCATGAGAGAAATGACCATGGTGATCTGTTACCACTACTGACAAAAGCATTCATAATCTAGCTCCTCCTAAACTAAACCATAGTTATCACCTGTGAAGAGGCACAAGACTGAACAAGAACTCAGAAGAACATTGACAAATGATGTAGAATAAAATCCTCAAGGTATTTTCATGCAGTACAATCTACTGTAAATAATAGATTCCAATTCCCTATTAAACTGCCTTAATAAGAGCAATAATTTTATATTTTTCCATTTTAATAAGTAAGTAAATACCAGTAGATACTATGAAACAGGTTTGGGGAAGCGTTTTATAAATGCCATTTTTAATGCTGCAATTTCCCATTTTTCATAATTATGGAAAACTCTTATTTCTTGTTTTTGAATTTTTCCTGGAATTAGATTACATACTTAGACTATTATCCCAGTCATGAGTATCCACTGGTCATGACTTCTGAGCTCTGCCTCATGTTATATTGCTAAAAGATAGGGCATATAAAGAAGAATTTATAATTGCTCTTCTTGTTTTAGAAAAATCTAGCTGACGAAAATGGACAATCTATAGCTCATTTTATTTTATCCTATGGGTTTGAAATGATGTAAGACTATGATACGTATGTTTTTACCATTCTATGTAACTTGGAACAACCTAAGCTCATTAAACTATTCTAGAATAGTTCAACCACAAAGGTTTCAGCCACCTTCTTAAGGTTATGTAGCTTCAGCAGTGTCCCGGTTTGAGGTAAAAACAGACCAATTTTGTGTTCTGTGATTTTACATTTTAGCTAGGCCTCCTCTAACTCTGTGAAATTAACGGCGTATTGTGGAGAAAACTGCTCGTTCCCAGAGTGATAAGACCGATGTTTGTGCTAAATGCCAGGGAATGGTATGCAGAGAGGCCCTTGCTTATACTTATTGCTATAACAACCAAGGTCAGCCAATTTTCGTTATTTGCCCCTTAGAGGGTCGGAAACGGAAAAACGTAAAGGGGTCACATCTGTGGGGAGGAACGGACAAGACAGGTGACCCAAACCTGACCAACAGGGGTATTCCATCCCATCTGCCCCATGCTCAGTATAAAAGCTGAGGGATCAAAGGGTCAGCTCTCTTCCTGCAATGGCCGACGTCCAAAGAGGACCCTGTCTGTTCATCTGCCTTTGATCCCCATGTGTTCCTGACTCCAGAGCTGGAATCCAGTTCCCATCCATCGCTGAGTCCAGTCTGGTACTTCCCCAGTGCCTGCTGGTGACGGGACTGTCATCCTGGGAGCTTGATATGGTTTTGTATATATATTGTATCTATTTCATTGTTTTCTTCTCTCTTTTTTATTTTAATATTAATTTTTCATTAAAGTAGTTTAGTTCATTCTAAACTTTTCAATCTCCTTATCTCTTCCTCTCTTCTTTCGGGGAGGGGGGGGAAGGGCAATCTGTCGGTTCGGTTGTGGTGATTTTGGCTGAAACCACGACACGCAGGTAGTGTCACATATAGTTGTCTCGTTATGTGTCTCCTTGCAACACAAAGAACTTGCCAAATTTCAGTGCTTATCATCCGTTGGACAGTTCTTTTGTCTGTCTGTTCCCTTAGAAGTTTCCTAGCACTTAGAAATTTTCCAGTCTTTGGGTTGTTTCCTCTTAAGTTAAACTTGAATTTAATACTTTCCATGAAGAATTTCATTAAAAGTACTCTCCTTGTAAAGAGCTGTGAGTAGGCATCACGCTATAAGGTACTGCTGTCACAATCTTTTCATACTTTGGCGGTGTATTTGCTACATTCAAAATGTTATCACTATAATTATTTTCTACTGCTTATTGCCACCATAATGTTGATTGTATTAAATTATGGGACAGATGTGTATACCCAAAGGCTGTCTCAGATGCAAAATACTTTGCATTCAATGCTTGCAAGGCAGAAAACTGAAAGCTAAAAAAACACAGGTAAGTAAAATACAAGTAGAATACTACAGTGTGAAAGTAAAACTATGTGGATTTCATTCAAATTTTGCAGAAGCATGATACATATTGGGTTCAGTTACCTGCAGTAAGAGGTTACATCAAGGAAGAACTTCAATGTTTAGCTAAGACATATGAATTACTTACCGCCTGCTGCACAACTGTCTGCTGCACCTGCACACTTTTTTGTGCTCTGCAAACTTGCTTGAGGGTGGACTCTGTGCCATTCTGCAGGTGACTAAGGGAGAGATTCAGTAGCTTTGTACTTGTTTTGTAAACAGTTTTCAATTTCCCTATCAGAAATCCAAGGCTAACTACTCCTCAGCTACTTTTGACTCTTCATGCCTTTGGAAATTCT